TATAATAAAAAATAATATTAAAAGAAATGTATATATAAATTTATATGTATATATGTATATATTTATATATAACTGAATCACTATACTGTACATCAGAAATTAACACAACATTGTAATCTGACTATAATTCAATTAAAAAAAAGAAAGAGAAAACAATTAAATTCTTCAGGCAATTAGGAGGAAATTCAGTTTCTTCCTTAATCTTTTCAGCCTTGATTGTTTTCAGCTTTAAATAATCTGCATGTCAAAGAGACATTTTGTGGTGGTAAATTTTGCTCCCCTATATTTGGAAGAACAAGAGAATTATAAATAGGATGCTATATGATGCAAACAAAATCATTAATATTTTTTCCTATCTGAGCTATTATCTTATCATTTTGTCATGATAGTTCATTAATACAGCACACTACAAGTGTAAGAAGGGTGGCAAGAATAATGAGTTGAACTTTGCCATCAGGGAGTCTAGCCAAGAAACCACCTATTCATGACATGTTTCCAGGTTCAGAATTGAATGGACAAAAGTGGGCTGAATCAAGATCAAATGAGCATAAATACTGGCTGAATGTGTAGACTGAAATCATATAGCATAGCTGAGTGGAGTCAGAGCCTAAGGTCAGGAGTGAGGCTAATAAGGAAAGGAGATGCACCTATCCAGAGTAGTGAAATTGAAACAGATGAATGAGAACTCTGAGTAGAAATCTAAGTTTGAGGAACAGATCATTTGAAATGGGCTGAAGTTGAAGAGAGCATCTATACGTGGAGCTAATGGAATCCTGTAGTATAAGGAGTATATTTCTATGATTCTTTTGATCCCACATTTCCATCCTTAGTTTTAACATTTACAGAACATAATAACTTCAAAGAAATGCCTAATACGTAAAGAGAATTATGCATATTATTAATTACATTTATCAAATATCCATGTTTCATTTAGAATAAGTGTAATCAGTAAATGTTAACTTTTTTTTTGCATTTATTTGAAGGTAAAAAAGTGAGATACATAGGAAAACCCTTATTGACTTGACTCAGTTATGTTTGAGTTAAGCGCCATCTGGAATATTTGATTCAAAACTAGGGTCTCAGTTACTCTAGAACAATGTCGTCTTTGTCTTGTCAGAAAGTGACTTCATGTGTATATATATATATATAAATAACATATATATAAATATATATAAATAAAATATATATAATATATACAAATAAAATATATAAAAATAAACAAGGACCTACTGTATAACACAGGGAACTATGTTCAAATTCTTATCCTAATATATAATGAAAAATTATCTGAAAAAAATATATTTATATGTATAACTGAATTGCTTTGCTGTACTAAGATTGTAAATCAATTATACTTCAATAAATTATTTTTTTAAAAAGACGGTGACTTCATCAAAATTCCCTGGGAGTAAAATACTTTAATTTTGATGAGACATATACCTGGAAGTTGACTGATTAAAGGCTTCCTTTTAAGGGTATTTTCTTAAACCTACTCAGATGTAGCTTATAATGAAACAAAAACAAACAAAATGAAACAAAACAAAACCTAGACATATGTGTGCTTAAAAAAATAACACTACTAAATTTATATCAGCCTTCTGTTCAGAAATAGTATTTTTAAACTTCAATATAGGGTTATCTGTGCTCTTTCTCTCTCTCTGAAGCATTCTGATTGATTAATTAAACTGCTGAGCAGGAGAGTTTGAGCCAGGGGAGCTTGAGGAAAATTCTAACTCTGTCATTCTTTTCTTTATGACTTTGGACAAATTGCTTTTTTTTCTTTTGTATATATTTTTTGTTTTCTTTCTTTATGTTTTTACTTGTAAACCAAGATGATATATTCCATCTCCTTCATTGGAAATGTGTGATTATTAAGGCATTAATTAATTAGGCTATCTATGAACTAATTTTTATTTTTTACCCAATACAGGTACCTTATAAAAACTATCAATTGAGAAAAAATGAACAATGTGAGAGTTGTGAGTCAAGTTTTATTGGGGACAAAATGAAGACTATAGCCCAGAAGACAGCATCTTGGAGAGCTCTGAGGATCTGCTCCAAAGAAGAAGGTGGGGACTTCAGTACACATGTAATTTTGGTGAAGGGGGGTACATGCAATCAAGCACATATTTTGGCAGAAGTTTGCTGCTAGTCACAAGGAGCAGATTCTCTGTTAATGATTTTAGTGATTTTCTAGATGCGAGAAGGTGCAAGAAATTGGTCTCATGTAATGTTCTCCTAAAAATATTTATCTGAAGGGCTGTTTTCCCAGCTTTTCCCAGAGCTCAGAGTATTTCATTCCTAATTTCAGTCCTGAACTTCTTTCAGGATGGGTTGATGGTTAGCAACTACAGTGGCTAGTGACTTCATCCTTGTAGAATCAGATGGTGGGCAATAATTTTTCATCCACGAGACGACACACCAGATGTTAGAGTTGGGGTAAATGATATTATATTGTATTATATATGTATGTATTCACAGTCACCAAAAGTGAGTTATATAGAGCTTCTAAAACTTAATTTCATATAAAAATATATAAGTATATTTTCTTTATCTTTCTATTATTTTTAAATTATGAATTAACAGAACTTTCTTCAAACTACTATTATTAACAATTAAAAAAATTCAGTCAAGGTTATAAAATAATATCTTAGGTATTAATTCATTTAAAAAACCCAAGAATAATCAAATACAAATCTTCTAAGGTTAATAATGTTTAAAGATGAATATGATTCAAGTTTCTATTGGCTCATTTTCTAAAATGTTTCTGTTTCCCTCTGATAATTCATGTTGTGTGTTTTTTATTAAAAATGGAATTTTGATACTTTGTTCACCTTAAACTTACACAATGTTATACATCAATCATATCTCAATAAAACTAGAAAAAAAGAAACTAAAATTACAAGATGTAAACATTCATTCAGCAATTAAATAGTCAAAGATACTACCTGTGAACTTGAATATGTAAAATGGAACTTAGAATAATTATGGTAATCAGTAAGCGATTTAGTGGTTGGTTCACTAATTAGAGTTACAATTAAGCTTCTATCTTTAGCCTTATATTTTTCAGGTCTTTGGAATTTGGGTCTCTGTTGTTAGTCACTTTCGTTGCTAATTGTCAGGAAGATATAGCATACTTACATATGACAAAGTTCCTTACATTCCCTTCAATGTCAAGTTGCTTACCTCTTCCCCACATAGTCCAAAGGCCCTTTAAATACAGCTATGGTGCAACTCCTATCCCACTGTTTTATAATTAACTTCTCTCCCTCTATGTCTCCAAATGAACTCTGAGCTCTGGAAGGACAGTCTAAGTGACAACTGTCTTTACCCAGGACTTTAAACATGTACCTGGCATATATTTGTCCCTCAATCTTCGTTAAATAAAAGAATAAATATTTTAAAGGACAACAGTTTGCATTTATGAAGAAGATATTACTTATGTTCTCACAACTCATGATCCTTTGCAGAAGCATGACAGACAAGTTACTGATTGAATAATCATCCTCTTAGACATGTTTTTGTTTTTTTGGTTTCTTTTGTCTAAACTATATGTTTGGGTTTCATATGCTTACATATAGGTGGCTTCATTTTCACACGTTTAGGAGATGATATGTTCAGAACATGTCATCTAATAAAATAAAAAAGAAAATGATATATTTAGGTGTGTCTCAAGATATTTAAAACAGTTGCAGAGTTTAAGGGGCAAGTAAGCATGGTTAAGTGTGAAATTTTATTCCAGATGAGGAGAAGGTTCTTTTTTTCTCTCACACCAAACAATTTTCCAATTTTTTAACACCAGTGGGGTAGCTTACAATTCAATTCAATGTCAACATTAACCACCTGGATTTACCATGAGACCCCCACAGGTTTAAGGGTTCAGTACCATAAAATTGTCCTCACTCAGACACCAGTTTCAAGTATCAGATCCCCAGGTAATGCACATGTCTGTCCTTCCTGGCTACAAAGATGGGGGCACCACCCCTAAGTTTAACAATTTGCTAGAGTGACTCATAGAACTTAGGAAAATGCTATACTTACTGTTATAAATTATGACAGTTGATAAAAATGAACAGCCAGGTTAAGAGGTATATGGGAAGAGATCCAGAGGGTCCTGAGCAAATTAGATTCTGTCCCCTGAAGTTGGGCTGCACCACCCTCCAGGAATGTGGATGTGTTTGTGAATTTGGAACTTCCTTAAACCCCATCATTTGAGGGTTTTTAATGGAGATTTCATTACATAGGCATGATTGTGGCCATTGGTGTTTAACTCAACCTCTAGTTTCTCTCCCCTCCCAGAGGACAGGGCCTGGGGCTGGAAGTTTAAGCTTTTAATCAGGCCTGGGGCTGAAATTTCAAGCTTTTAATCAAGTCTTGATTGTTGTGGTGGCCAGCCCTCATGCTGAAGTTAAGAACTCACAGAGTCACCTCATTAAAACAAAGGATATTTCTAACACCTTGTTGCTCATGAAATTCCAAGGTTTTAGGAGCTCCAAAGTGCCTGGAACTAAGTATAAAGACTAAATATATTTATTATTATACCCCAGATGGCAAGGAATTTATTACTGTGGACATATAATTTCATAGAAAACAAGTGAGTGGCTGGAACCACAAGGATTCAAGTTCCAGTCCCACGCTCTACTAGCTATATGATCTTGGTAAAAAATTTTATACTGTTTGGTGCTCAGTACACTCATTTTTTAGAAAGGGGAAGCAGAGATAAATAATGTATGGTATGTAAACCATAGAGCACAGAGCCAGTGCACGGCAAACACTCAATAAGAGAGCGTTATTATTCGAATCAGGAGTCTTTAAACCTCTTTAAACCTCTTTATAGGGCAGCTATTTTAGACTTTACAGTTCATCAAATTTCTGCTGCAACTACTTGGCTCTGCTGTTGCAGTGTGAAAGCAGCCACAGACAAAATGTAAACAAATGAGCATGCCTGTGTTACAATAAAACCTTATTTACAAACACAGGTTGCAGTCCATATTTGTCCTGCAGGCCACAGTTGGCCCAGACCCCTGATGCACATGTTGCAAACTCAGAATTAAGATTGTGTATACTATATATCAATTCTAAATTTGCATATTGACCACATAAAATGCACTTTGCTAAAAGAACTGTGCATTACTTCCTCAGACTCTAGTGACTTGATGTTTAGGGTTGAATTGTGTCCCTCCACAAAAGATATGTCTAAGTCTTAACCCTCAGTACCTCAAAATGTGACCTTATTTGTAAATAGAGTCTTTACAGAGACAATCATGTTAAATGAAGTTATTAGGGTGAGCCCTAATCTAATATAGCTGGTATTCTTGTAGCCAGGAGACTAGGAGAAAGACCTGGAGAAGATCTTTCCCCAGTGGCTTCAGAGGGATAACAGCCTTGCCAGAACTTTGATTTTGGACATCTGGGTTCCTGAGCTGTGAGGTAATAAATTTCTGTTGTTGTAAGCCACCAGTTTGTGGTTTTGTTACAGCAGCCCTAGGGAATCCATATGTATTTGGGTGCTGGGAAGTGGGGTGCTCCCATGACAAATAGCTAAAAATGTGCAAGTGTCTTGAAATTAGATAATGGGTAAAAACTGGAAGAGTTTTGAGGTACATGACAGGAAAAAATCTTAGACTGCCTGGAAGGATCCATCAGTAGAAATAGGAACATTAAAGGAGATTATAGTGAGAAATCCCCACCAATCTATAGTCTAGTGGAGGGATAGTGGTAATTGAGAGAAAGTTCACTGATGTTAAGAATACAACCTTTGCTGTTTGTGTGTTTGTTTATGAGGAAGAGCATCTGCTGAAGCAACTCCTCCAGAAAAGCAACTTAATCTGAAGGGTCATGTTGAGATCCTTGGACTTTGTGTAGAGTGTATTTCCCACTTCCTGGGGAAAAGTACCTTCTCACCAGAAGTGTCCCTTCTGACTCAGGATATGAATTTTTATTCAATTTGTCAAAGGAGCTGATGGAGACAAATGTCAGAAATCCAGAGCTCCTTAAAGATTGAATGTTATAATATCAAAAGAAGCAATATTATCATAATTAATCAAGTATGTCCACTGTACTTATTCGTTCACCAGTTACTGACCATCTGCTCTGAACTAAGACTGTGCTCCATGATGTGAGCACTTCTGACACAATCTCTATATGGAATGAAAATTCCAGTGGACTACAGTAGTACATTTTCAGGGCAACTAGTGGAGTCAAAGAATTCTCAGAGGAAGTGACAGTGAAATTGAGGTTTAAAAGATGCAAGAAAAATGTCTTAACCTGAGTATAGTTAGCCAGTGTATCTCCCAAGTTGTATAAGACAAGGGGTTTTTAATAATTAATCTTGAAACAGGTGGGGAATCCACTAGAGGAAGACAGTAGGGTGGTTTTAGGGATATGTGGTGGAAGAAGGACCCTAAAATGTGCTGTTAATTACACGGACTCTCACAGGCTAGCAATCTGTGACACATCATAAAACAAAAATGAATCAAGAGCAAAATTATAAGAAAAAACAATAAAGAAAGCATAGATGGTTAAGCAGATCAAACATATAAAAAAACAGAAAAACATTAAAAGCTAAGAGTTGGGTGGAAAGGGACAAACTGGGAGTTTGAGATTTGTAGATACTGGCAGGTATATATAGAATATATAAACAAGTTTATACTGTAGAGCACAGGGAAATATATTCAAGATCTTGTAGTAGCTCATGGTGAAAAAGAATATGAAAATGAATATATGCATATTCATGTATGACTGAAAAATTGTGCTATACACCAGAAATGTACACACTATTGTAAACTGACTATAACTCAATTAGAAAAAAAAGGAAAAGAAAAGCTACTTAAATGTTAAAAAATATTAAGAGCTAAGAAAGTATAAAAAAATTCCAAGAAATGATTTAATAATT